CCCCCCCCTTTTTCCATTCATGTTGAGCACGAATGAACATAGCTGATCACCTGAATCATAGGCACCTCACGATGAGACTGGCGAGCGCATGTTCACCATCATGGGCACCGCCAAGGCCAACGAATCGGCGCTATTCCTTCTGTACGAGAATTTGGAGGCGGAGAAGATGCGCCGAAGTCAGCTCCAGGAGCCCGAGTAGGCGACTGATGTTTCTTTCTAAAAACCCTTTGAGTTTTGCTTTTCTCGTGTTCCTTGCGACTTGCAGAGGTCAGTTCTGGCAAGATGAGCTGGGACACGTCCAGATCTGACTTGCCGCGAGGCTTGTATTTTCATTTTCGGACGATACCAGACGACAGCGTCACGAGCGATCAATCCACTTGTCCAACCATTTGGCCCCTTCCATCCACCCAAAAACGAAACCTTCGTCATCAATCCTCGTCATCAAATTCGTTTTCCTTTCATGATTCTTCCCCCTCTCGTTACCATTGCTATGCTACAACACCACAGCCAGGGGTCAGCTTGGGTTGATCTTGGCTCATACCTTGGTTGCCACCTGGTTCCCTCCTCTGAATCAATCACCCTCTTTGTGGCGCGATACATCGCTATTCAACTCTGTAGCATATCTATCCATCTGTACCAGTTTTTCTCACCGACTTCTTGGCGAAAAGTAATCTGCCTTCTTGGGAGGAAACGGTTTCGTGGTGCGGTGCAGTGCGGTGCAGTGCAGCAACGCATGGCACAGTTTTCTTTTTACGACTGTTAAACCACGTCGGGACAGCCCGACGTGGCTATGGCTTAATGACACAAAACTAGCTCCGAAGAGCGGTTAACGATAGGGATAGCGCAAAATTCCAGGGACCGAGAAGGGCACATCACGGTTCCTCCAAACAATCTCTGCCCACGCTTCGCGTTACCTTCCCCCTCTCTTTCGCCTCGCACAAATGTTTCTATCTCTTACATCCTCGGATCCCGACATCGTCACGCGACCCGCTACTCCCATCTTATCGCTCACATAATTCCCATCACTCATCGCTCTCACAAACCCCCGTAACATCAACTATTATGGCTCACCCATTGTGTATTCTGCTCCTTGCTGGCCTGCTTCCACGACAAGGTGGCTCTTTATTCCATGTGGGATTTCAGAAAGGGCATTCTTAGGTGGAACGTACTTAGCTCGGATTCAAGAGCCATCAAATAAAATCGAAATTATGAGCAAGCCCGTTACTTGAAGTGAAGTCGTATGATTGTGGTGTTAGATGTTGCTCCGCAGAATGTATTTATTTATGGCTTTGCAGGTGTGGCTGAAGAAAGCTGCCGATACCTTGATCCTTAAAATAGTTCCGGTTGATGCAACTGTGGCTGGTTCCATTTGTAGTGGGGCGGGGCATCTTTGTCTCATGGTTAATTGATGAAGCCAACTTGTCAGTTTGGTCCATCATGGCAACTTGTGATTGATTTAATTAACCATTTTCCCGGTTCTCTCTTCGCTCTCTACACTTCTTAATCCTCTCCTTATAAGACTTTCTTTCTGGCTTATTCACAATCTTTTTATTTACTCACGCTTTTTCTATCTTTCCCCCCCTTAACAGTCCTGGGAATGGCACGCTCTAAGCAACCAGCTATCAAGCGCGAGGCATCCTCAGAGTTCTTCAATAAGACGACTGCAACATGGGAGGATACTGATCGATCGCAAAAGAGCCTCTCCAATGGAAACATTACGAACAAGGTCTTGCCTGTTCCCGCGTCTGCGCAAGAAGCTGGGCTCTTGCAGCTTGTCATCGCTGTCGCGGGAATCTATGCTTCATTGTAGGTTCAGCCCCAACAGCTCCTCTGGCCAAATTGCTCATACAGCCTTTCGCGGATAGCCTCACCTGGGCATATCTTCAAGAGAAGCTCACTACCAAGCCATATGGTCCCGCCGACGCCCCGGAAGTCTGGCACTTCCCCGTCTTCCTCAACACCATCCAATCCGTCTTCGCCGCCATCGTAGGCGCTGTCTATCTCTATGCCTCGACGCCCAGCAACGCCGCCGTCCCTCCAATTATCCCCTCACGCCGCATTCTTGGGCCTCTCGCGCTTGTTGCTGTCACGAGCAGCCTCGCGAGCCCCTTTGGCTACGCATCCCTTGCCCATATCGACTACATCACGTTCCTCCTTGCCAAGAGCTGCAAGTTGCTACCTGTCATGTTCCTTCATATCACTGTCTTTCGCCGCCGATATCCGCTGTACAAGTATCTCGTGGTCTCGGCCGTGACTCTCGGCGTGGCTGTCTTCACGCTGCACTCTGGAAAGAAGAAGGGCAGCAAGGTCCGACCTGACGACGCAAGCACAGCATGGGGCCTGCTGTTGCTGGGTATCAATCTCCTCTTTGATGGGTTGACAAACAGCACTCAGGACCATATCTTCCAGACATTCCGACCGTACTCGGGTCCTCAGATGATGTGCGCCAACAACGTCATGAGCACTATTGTCACGGGTGCCTACTTGATCGTCAGCCCTTGGTTGGTCGCTACAGGCCTCGGAGAGTGGTTTGGCATGGACGTCGCTGGCAACGCGGGCGAGCTCAAGGCTGCTTTGGATTTTATGGCTCGGTATCCCGCTATCTGGAAAGATGTTCTCGGTTTCGCTGCGTGCGGTGCCGTCGGCCAGGTCTTTATCTGTAAGTCTCAACCACCGTTCACCAGATCAGTATTCCAGGCTAATCATGGCCAGTCTACACGCTGTCTACGTTCTCGTCCGTTCTTCTCGTCACTGTCACTGTAACACGTAAAATGTTCACCATGATACTGTCTGTTCTCGCTTTCGGCCATCGGCTCACTCAGATGCAGTGGCTTGGTGTCGCGCTTGTGTTTGGCGGCATTGGTGTTGAGGCTGGCATCGCGCGACAAGAGAAGATGGCCAAGGAGGCTGCTAAGGCACAGCAAAATGGCAAAAAGGAGTTGTAAATGCATCTGGTTTATTCTCTTTGTTAGTGGGCGATACAATCCAATATGTGTAATGGCTCGAAGGGACAACCGAAGGGAATGAGGAGTATATCATGTGTGAGGGGCGTTTACGGGAGTTGTAAACCGATCTCAACCACTCCCTCATAGTAATTGCAGACAAAAATGCCCAAGTGCATCTGCTTTGGAAACTCAAACGTCATAATCTGTCACATAGAATAAGCGAGGGTCAATACGATGAATAATCCTTTTGATTAACATCTAGATAAGTACTATGTAAAGCCTTCTTCTTCACACGGTCTTGCTGTACCAAGAACCCTTTTGCTTCCTGGAAAAACGCCGTGGTGCTATAACCCAACACAGTAACTCGTCTTGTCCTTAGCAACACCTGTACATACACAACCCCTTTCCATGACCGGGTATTTGAGCCCTCCCAATGATTCCCTTTGGGTACCTGAAGCCATACGCCACATGCATTTTGTTGTCCAAAATGGACAAAGCGAGAACCAAAAATAAAACTGAAACAAGAGTGACAAGACGGAATGTCTTTGTCTATATTACACTAGGTCATCGTGAACCCATCCGACGCCAGGCGCTGTGTACTGCTGAAAAAGAACGAGAGAAAAGCGAGTGTTTGTTATGAGGATATAACGATTGGAGAAGATCGGTGACAAAGAAGATGTATTTGGTTATTTGCGTATCGTCGTGCGGAAGGTTGAGAGACCATCCGGGATCGAGGGTCGGGTGGAGTGCAGTTATAACTCTGCCCTGTTGCTTAAACGCCTCTGAAATGCTGTGGTTAATATTGTAGAATAGCGAGTAGGATTTATAAAATAAAAACAATAGCGATAGTAATTCGTCGTACTTCTTCCCTTGGAAGTTGATTCGTTCGACTTGACAGCGAAACCCAAGGTTAAGCTTCATCATAAGAGATCATCAATTGATCGAATAATAGGTGCTTCGCCTTTTGTAGGTGGACTCCTGGGATCTGCAACGACCGGTGGTCTTCCGAAGGTTGAGAAAGGGTCTCGAGGGAACATGCCCGCTCGGGGAGAAAACAAGCCTTGGCTTGGGGTTGGTGGGCTCTCGACGAATCGCATCCCAGCAACCTCATGAACATCATGAAGCGGATTGTTAGTCATCGTCTCGGCTCTCGGTGACAATAGAGCATTATCATCCGGGTATGAGCCAGGAAGAGTTATGGTTCTCTCCACTGGCGCATCACTAAATCTCATTTCCGACGGTGCCGGGTTAAATCGTGGAAAAGTCATGGTCTGGAAGCCAAGGCTTGCCTGAGAGGGGAACCCAGGCGAAGGTGGAGGCTTCATAATCGAGTCCATCATGGGAGACGGGGCTAGAGTTGGTGGTGCCTTGCCCTGGCTTGACACGGGCCTCTTGGGCAAGTCGCCAAGTTTGAAAGGATCCAGGTGTTCTGACGAGTGCTGCTCAACCTCGTCTTTCCAAGTGCAAGTTGGGGGCGCTGAAGCAGGGCCGGGTGAGACCGGTCGGGGTCCAGGTGTTGAATTACCGCGAAGTCGATTTTGGCTCGGATTCAAGTGCGAGTCCTTAGACTCGTCGTTCTGTGTTGGAAGGGGAGCAGTCTGTGGCTCCTTGGTTCCAATGTCGATAGCATCAACAGAGAGTGTGATTCTATGCTTTGAAGGGCTACGGCCAGGACGGGGACGGTGTGACGGTAGCGCCGTTCGCTTAGTTGACACCTCCTTTTGGAAATCCTGCAGCGAGTACATGAGTTTCATGTTCGGGCTGATCCATTGGCTCTTTGCTTGAGCTGCGTAGTAAGCATCATTCACAGTGAGATGCGGTTTCTGGAAAAGGCCGTAGGCAATGATCAGACTCGCAGATCGACTAGCGCCCTGCTGACAATGGACAAGCACACGTTTGCCAGCTTTTGTCCGTTTATCAATAACATCACACAACTCCATAAGATCCGGCGAAATGTCGGTATTGTGGTCCCAGGGAATATGGATGTATTCAGGCTCTTTAAACTGGAAGGCCTTTGGTGTGGTAGGTGTGTCAGCTGAATCCTCCTGGGGGTATTCCCAGGCTGTCATGAAGCTGGCTGTGGACACAGCAGTATCGGGGATGGGACTTTCAATTCCAGAAACAGGGCGTCCCATAGACTGGAACGGCGATTGCGATGATTCATAGGCCACTTTGCGAATTTCAAAGGGGTTGCTGACTTCGCGAGCGCAATTGATGACTACGTCAAACCGCGATGCTTCATCAGCCGTGGGTTCGGAGTAGAGGAAAACATTGTCTCCGTAGATCGCAATTGGCCCATCAGGGTAGCCTGGCGTCTTCATATCCTCGTTGTTCTCGTTATCGCGGTAGGGGTCATCATCTCGAATGGCCATCTGGGTACGAATTGGCGAATCTTCCTCAGTAATCGCAGAATGGAAGGCTGGTTTCATACTCGACTTTGTGGGTCGCAATACTTCTGAAAGTCCGGATTCGTTTCTTTCCAATACCTTGGGGAAAGTCATACCGCCAGGTGGACCGAAGGTCGCGGACTTAAGACCGGAAGACATGTGAGGTGAGGAGCAAGAATGCTTAAGAGCTCGACGCTGGAGCATCGGCATGGCTGGTGAGGGTGGGACCTCCAGGGTGGTCTTATGGATCAAGTCAGAAGTATTGGTCTTCAGGCTCAACTGGCTAGGCTTTCTTCTCATAGCAGGAATCGTAGGCTTGATAAATGATGGAGAAGAAGGCTCGGAGACCAGCGAAATGTTTGTCGTTGAAGTCGAGGCAGCGAATGGGGGTTGGATAGAAAGGCCCTTCATATTGCGGCCTCTTCGAGGTGAGGGTGATGTCATTGGTCGCTGCAGCCGAGGAGGCTCACTCAACAGAGTAGTGGTGGCTGTGCTGCTGAGATTGGTGGAGAGGTTGCCGAAGCTCGTGGCAGGATAATTGTTGAGGGGGATAAGATTCAAAGGAGAATCGGGAGAAGACGAGGGAGACGCATCTGAGAGGGGCGAAGAGTCGGTTGTAGACAAGGTCGTTGTAGGTGAAGAGTCTGCCGACTCGGAGGTCTGTGTCGATGTGCTATCGTGATGCTTGTGTGTCGGGTCGACAGGCATCATGCTAGGGCCAAGACCATGTTGAGGAGGAGCACCCATCATGCCAGGTCGCTTTGGTTCCATGTCGACGAATTTGGTGTCCATGAGTGTCACAGTGTCCTGATCTGCCATGGTCTCGGCATCCAGATCAAACACTGTCATAAAAGGCGGTATTTGATCTTCGTACACTCTTCTGTCCGTAACTGAAGGCATGTTTTGGTATCCGCTGGGCGATCTAGTGAGTCAAGTCTGCGCCAGGACGTGGAGTAAAGCGAAGCAGATGCTGAGGGACAATTATAGTCTCTAGTCCGCGTACCGGGTATGATTCGAGTGTTTGATCAGGGCGCTGAAACACCAGTTGGCTTCCACCTGGGACAAATATGGTTGAAATTATGTGAGTACGTGCAAAGGTTTGTAAATTGGCCGGTCAGAAGTAAATAGTCCGGCAAGAGAAACGAATGGCTTCGCAGGTCGCGGTGCGATCGAGAGCAGGTCAAGTCGGTCGTTCGATGTGTCAGCGCAGCTGATCTTGTCGCTGAGCGTACCAGCAGTGGGTAGTGTTCAGTAAACGCACGCAAGTTGCTCGACTTGGTAAATGAGGGAGACAAGCCTCGCAGTGGACAGTGGTCTCTAGAGAGAGAAAAGAAGTTCTTGCTCAAAAATAAATCACAATTTGGGCTTTAGAAACAATCGAGAAAGAAGCTACTGCTACTGTCGAGTCTAGCGGGTAGCAGGGAGAATAGTCCAAGGAACAAGCCCAGAGAACTTATGAGACAAAGAACAGGCGCTTCGGCGATAGGTAGTGGCAGGGCAGGGCAGCGAGTGGCGCTGTCAGAGTCGCGAGATCATTATTTCCCCTTGATGAGGGAGACCGAGCCGTCGTTCGAGAGAAGATGTTATATCAGGCCGGAGCGTAGTGGTCTGAGGTGAAGTAGAGGGTAAAGGGAAGGGCGAAGAGAAGAAGATTGAAATTGAAATTGAAGATCGAAGTGACAAGAGGAAGTGAGAGAAAGATGAGAGGAAGAGTAACGGGTTGGAGGGGGAGTGTGAGACTGAGCGAGAACGTCTTGGGATTGGATTGGATTGAGTTTAGCTCTGGGGGAGAACTGGTTGAGGGGTGTGAGTTGCAAGCAAGCGCTACCTAGTACCTGGGGGCAGTGTCTTTCAAGGATATTTCACACGGTACCGGTTATGGGTGCCTCTCAGGAGCCCAGGCCACCAGGGCAGTCAGCTGCCTGGTGGAGGCTCGGTGCCCTGTAAGAGAAGAAGAACCTGGGCGTGCTGCTGGCGACATAGCAACGGCGGTATCTCAAACAGTCATCGAGGTATCCAGTCCAATCCGATCTGGTAGCAACTAATTCAAGACCTCTAGTTCTTCTAACAGCGCATCGGCGGTAAAAGAAAAAGAAAAACAAGGGTGTTTTGTTTTCGTGCTATGAAACAAGTATCCGCCCGTAGCAAGCGGCAGCACCTACATATGCGCTGTGTCGCTTGTTGGCGGTTGCGGCCATATATGGCAAAAGGCATCTAATGTAATGCAATGTAATGTACTGTCATGTCACGTCAGGCATGCTGCTGGACAAGGCGAGAAGAGACCTGAATTGGAAGCCCCCAGGGAAACGTGACATGGCAAAGCCCAAGCAGTGTCAGCTACATGGACCCTGCAATGGTACAGCAAGCAAGAATGGTATACGAAACATGCACTAGGGTTGACGATGCTTGGAACCAGTTTCGGCAAAGGTCATTGATCATACCTGTGTGTTCAATTTGCCATGTTTGCTTAAAATCTTTCCGTGAGAGTAGTTATTGAGTTGCTCAATAGTGTCATCTTGACTGGCTGAATCCAAGCCCTGCTTCATATGTCACTCCCTTGCCAATATGGCTATGCCTACAATACCCAACCATGAACTACCTACTAAGGTAATG